AGAGTTTGGGGGTTCCTCGGGCGGGATCTTGCGAGGAGTGGGGGGGGCCCTGCAAAGCGGGAACCTGCCGGATCTAGGGCTCCTGCGCCTACATTTCCGCTCGGGGATCCCCGAACTGCAACTTGGAGGTTCGGAGGTGCTCCAGGAGCCCCGGGCCGGCTTTCTACGGGGTGCTCTCGCTGCTTCCTGGTCGGGGGTGGGACTCCGAATGAGAACCTAGGTGAGTGCGGGGCTCCCCAGCCGCTGCCGCTAGGTTCGAGTTTCCGGCCGAGGAACCCGGAACGGCAATTGGGGGTTCCGGGGCGCCCCCGGTCCGCACACGAACTCTGCTGATAGGCGCGCACGTGGCAGGCTGGGCCCTGAGGTTCTGATTCTACAGCCTCTCGACTTCTCTCAGCGACCCCTTCACCCCCTCCCCATCACCCCCAGGGAAATCAGCAAACCATGGGCCAAGGTCACTGGGTGCCATTCCGGGGTCCATGCCTGCAGTCCTCGCCAGTATCCACCATCTCCGTCCGGGTCGCACCACCCCATGGGGTGCTTGTTTTTATTTTGCTCAAAGCCTCTTACCAGGTCAGCCCTCCCCCACCCCCCACAGTTGTATTTTAAATAAAGGAAAAGGGAAACTCCTGCCAAGGGCAGCAAGATTATTCTAGGAGTTTTTTCCTGGGTGCAGCTGTTAGGAGAGGTTTGCTATAACTGAGTTTCCCCTTTGATTATAGCCTAGTATTTATATCCTTGCCTAATGCTAAAGGAGGGAGGGACCCAGAAAAGTGACCATAAAGAAGGTAGAAAACCCAGTTCTGCACTGGTCAGGGAGGAGTTATGAATGTGTGTCCCTTGCAGAGACCGCTCCTGCAGAGTGCCTCTAAGTTTACGGTCATCTTGTAGCCTGAAGGACCGGCCTTGCAGGCCTCCCTAGACATGCGTAGGTCTGTGTTCTTTTTGTTAAGATTTATTTATTTATGCATACAGAGCCTGGGTGCAGGCCAGAGGCACAGGGGCGGTGAGGATTCACCAGAGACAGTGGGGAGCAGGACAGGCAAATGGACAGAGCACACTGCTGAGGGGAGCAGCGGGTGGGTGCCGAGCCGTCTGCAGCACCATGTGGGTCAGCTCTGGGGCGGGATGGAGCTCTCAGGGAAGCAGCAGCAGCCAGCGTTGCGCGCTGCGCTTCAGGCTGTTGTTGTGTGGAGGCCAGATCTGGGCTCTCAGTGCTTGGATTGGCGGTCGGTGCTTTGCAGGTGGTGTGTGGCTGACTTGACTTCTCCCTTGAGCTGCAGGTTGCATCTGTGGACAGAGTGCGTTTGTGGGCCCCCCATCTCCTCCCTGCAAAACTACAGTACCCAGCCTCACTTAGAGGACCAGGAGGAAAACTCTCAGCTCCCAGCCTCCTTTGTTCTGTGAAGCGTGTTCAGACATTTGAAGGCTTTTTGAGTGCTGGGTCGGTGAATGACGGGACAGGGGCTCAGCTATCACAGGTTTCAGCTGGCGAGCGAGCAGCCTTCCACTGCAGACGGCCGCTGCCGGCTTCGGCTGCGCTTCCTTCTCTCCCACTGGAGGAGGGGAGACCCGGCTTGGCAGGGGCCTACCCTCCTGTGTGACCTGCCAGAGAGACAAACCTGGCACTTTCCCCTACAACCTGGCCCAACTCTCAGGAGTGGCAGAACCAGAGCCCCAGGTTGGTTCTGGGGATCCCAATCCTCAGCACTGCAGATCCAGGCTACTTGAGAAAGCCAAGGAGCAGAACCAAGTTTGGGGATAGGGACCCCCACCAGTTTGCTCTCCCTCCCCATCTTAGCCGGCTCATCCACATTGCCGGGGTTTACACAGGTACATGGGTACCTCAAACCTTTTTATCGTTGTGAAGGTAAGAATCTGTTTCCAGAAAGTATTGACCAGTTTCTGCTGTGTGTAGGAACCTTGTTTCCATGGTATGTGGAAGCCACTTTGACCTGCGCAACGCTGTGTGGCTGAGTTAGAGCCATGCTGTGAGCTTCCTCGGGTCTTCTTTAGACTGTTGCATGGAGACCACAGTGGCGGGACTTGGGGTGGGTATTGGACAGGAGTGTGGATTAAGTGGATTTCTGGTGACACAGGCCCCTCAACTCCTACCTCTTGCTTTGGTGTCTGATCAGTTCCACCAGAGTGACTCCATGGGAGCTCTCCCTCCCTCCCTCACAGGGACATGGGTGTGGACACAAGGTTTTGGCGAGACCACTGTTGTCGGTGTTCTGGTTGTCAGTCAGCCAGAGTAGAGCTAGGGCAGGAGCTTGAGGACAGGTTGGTGGAGCTGTGCGTGGGTGGCCCTGTGCAGCAGATGTGTGGGGACAGGCAGTCACCTTTCTAGATGACCAGGGAATGCCCAGGCAGCTGCTGAGCAGAAGGCCTGAGCCCACCTTTTGCCTCTGCCTTGACCTCGGAAGAGTCACCTTAAAGAAAGGTCCATTGATTCAGATTTCAGAAACAAACGAGACTTTTGGAGTCTCATGGGCCTTTGGGGCACCTGGCATCTTGTTGCTCACTCCCAGGCATCCAGAGGCTGTTCAGGCCACCTCTGGAGCAGCTGACTGTGTCATGGAACTGGAGTGAAGTTCGTGGAAGATTTTATCTGGCACACTCCGTTCTATTTGCGTCAGCCAGGGATATCTGGACATTGCTGAGCGAGAGCTTGGGCATCACCTAGGAAGGAGGGCAGGGAAAGCAGTGTTTGAGCCTCTGAGAAAGCTTTGGGCTTATGGCCTTAGCCCGAGGCTGCTTGAAACCTCAGGCGGTGAAATTAATGACCTCCCCTGCAGTGATGACTCGTTCTGGGCACTCTCCGAGATGGAGTGATCGGAGTGGTCGAAACAGACGTCCAGGTCCTGTGTGGTAGAGTTCTCACGGGGTAGCTTCCCAGAGCAGCTTTGGAAACAGACACTCCCAGTGGAGCCCCCGCCTGGAAGTGTGGGGGCCATGTACCTGTCAGAGGCTTGTTTGTGCTAAGTGCCCAGCAAGGTGGGGGTGGGGGTGTCCTTGTTCGGTTTAGAGGTGTCATAGAGACTGTTTCTTGAAATGTGTGGGGTAGTGGAAACTTGCTGGCGGTGAGAGAGAGCTTGGCCTCTCTGGGGCTCTTGGGAGCTTTCCTGGGGTATGGTCTCTCCCCTTTGACACTGCTGACGGTAGGGTTTGGTTTTCCTAATGAGGCCATCTTGGGCTTTGTGGGGTGCTGAGCAGCAACCCTGGCTCCCATGCCTTCAGTGACAGGAGAACCCCCAAGTCCACACATGTCACCAAGTATCCCCCAAGGGAGGCAGAATTGGCCTGAATGAACTCCCGTCTGGGCACTTCTGCTCTCTCTGCGCCTGGTTGCCAGTGGGCCCCTAGGGAACTGGTGCTTCAGATGACTTCCTTCAGTGCACTTTGACCTGTTCCTTGCTCCCCTGCAGTGAGTCCCAACTCTAATCCTTCCCTCTGCAGCACAGACTGAGGCTGAAAAGGTCACCCCAGAGTGGATGAGCCAGGGCTTGGATTAAGGCTCCTGGTGGCGAGGCTCTTGGAGCCATACGGGAGGAGTAATGTCCTGGGCTGATAAAAAGGAAGCCTGAGCTGCAGTGGGCAGAGTCTGGGACACTTCACAGATGAAAGGAGAGTGCGGGGCGGGGTGGAGTTTGGGGTGAGGCCTGGGTGCCTTCAGCCTCTCAGTGTTGCAGCTGAGGGCCCAGACGTGGGAGGTTCTCCTGGCGTTTTAGCCAGAGCTGCACGTGCCTCCTCCCGGGCCTGCATCCCTCCTTGCAGAGAGACAAAAACATTTTTACGGAGCTAGGGGTCCTAACATGTCCTCAGGAGAAACAGGAAGGTGCCAGTGGGCACTGGGACTGATGGCAGGTTGCCAGGGCTAGGCTGATACTCCGCTTCCTCCCCAGAGGACCTGGTAGCTCAGCTCAGTTCTGCCTTTCTGGTGACTGCCTGCCAGTGTGGGTGGAGTGGCACTTTCTGGAGCCTGCAGTGTTCGGGGGAAGCCACGGAAGAATGCTGTGGCGTAAATACCATGTGGTTGCTCTGAAGCACACACAGCAAAGGAGGCAGTGAGTGACCCGCAGCCAGGTTTCGGTTTCAGCAGGCAGAGGGGGGAATATTAACCAGTGTCATGTCCACAAGGCAGTTGTGCAGAACCCGTCCAGTGGTACCAGAACCAGTGGTACCTGCTGTTGGGGATTCATAAGCCTTGGGAACTGGATAGCGTCTGCCTATCACTGACACCTGTTTCCTGAGTAGGACCTTGACTCTGGATCACCTAGGAGGGCCTCATAAAGCCAGGGGCTTGAGGGGTGCAAAGTTGGGGGTGGGAGGACAGACTTCTAACTCCAGCTGAGCCTTGGCAGGGAAGGGCTAGAAAGGGGGGTGACCCCCCACTTTGTTAATCCTTTAATCTACCTGGTCTCTGTTTAAATACCCCTGGAGCCCTAGAATCAGGAACAGAGTGAGTCTACAAGTGAGTCTGTAGCCAGCCCAAGGCAGGCAGAGCCCGAGCTCACCCATGCTCACCAGGACAGACTTGGGCGCCTCCCTTCTCTCCTTGCTGATGAGGTGGACAGCCTTCTTATTTTATGAATTAAAAGCCTGGTGGGGGGGGCAGTCTCCCTGGTGGTGCAGGGGTTAAAGACACAGCTCTGTCAGGCTCTTCAGCCAGCCAGCAGCAGTGCTGCTGGAGTTCAGTCCCATCCCTGGCCAGGGAGCAGACCTCTCCTGTGTCCTGGCTGTTCCCCTCAGCAGTGTATTTCAGTGGACCCACCTGTTCTGCTCCCCACTCTTGTCTCTGGTGAGTCCTCTCACCCCACCTGCCACACCTCTCACCTACACCACAGTTCTTGTATGCATGAATTTTAGAAAGCCTGAGGCTCCGCAGTTGGTAGAAAGGGTTCTGGAGAGCACCCTTTGGGGCCTTCAGAGACTGGGCTGGGAGGACAAGCCCACGCGGGAGGGAGGAAGCGGAGACAAAAGGCACCTTTTGGAGAGCTGCGAGCAGGGTTTGCATCCAGTCCCCTCTTAAGTGAAACTGCATCCTTGGTGCAACTTGGCGATCCTCCTTGATGAGGCTGTTTCAAAGGAGACATCATTTCCTCTGTAATGAAACGTTTTCGTGACATAATATTATTTCAGACTTACAGAGAATCAAAGAGTCGTGACAAGGCCCCCATGTGCTCTGCCCAGTCAGATGTGCTTGACTGCCCTTGGCCCCCTTGCCCACTGCCTGTGTCTTTTGTGCTGACCTGAGTACACTGAAGCCTGGCCACGTGTTGTGGACACTTTGTGTAAACTGTTTCCAGAGAAGAAATCCTTCTCTTAAATGAGCAGCCAGTGATCAGTGGGGAAGCCCGGGGTTTGCACCCTGTAGGTCCTGCTTTTGTCATTTGCTTAGAGAGTGGCATTTGTAGTCTTCTCCCTTTGAAATTCAAATGAGGACTGGAGCCTGGACTGGTCAGACTAGTTCCTTCCTTCTGGGTGGGAGGCCAGAGGCTGGGTTGTGGGGGGGGGGGACACCTTCCTGCTGTGACTAGACATACTGCTGCTTGGCGGCTGGGAGTTAACTTGGAGTCTGGTTTTGATTGTGTTTTTGAGGCTGCTTGATCTCTCTCCTGCACAAACAGCTTTTCCACAGCAAACCCCCGGTGTCAGTGCCTGTGCCCTGCTGGGCCAGTGGGCAGTTTCTCCACCATGCCTGCTGGGCTTCATTTGCCCTGCGCCCCCTGCCGGATGCCAGGCCAGGGACAGCCCAGAATCGATCCTGAGTCATACCTTGCCCTTTGGAGAGAGGAGCACAGACAGGCCTCTGCCTCAGAGATTGTGGGGAGGGAGGAGACGCCTGGGCTTGCTCCTGCAGGGCGTTTACCGACAGAGGCCTCAGTCTCAGCCTCCCTGCTGCTGCTGTTGGATCAGCAGGTTTCTCTGAAACTTGACCTCAGTTCTCCCTTTTGAGGGACTGGAAGCCCAGACTTCTGTCCTGACTCCACAGCCTGCCTCTGCTGTGAACGCACTGGGACCTGTTGTTTGTTGATTTTAGAGTGCATTGGGGGGGCCTTCCTGGTGCCACAAAAGGGTTAAGTGTCAGCACTATGAAGTTACCCTCAGCCAGTGCAGCACCGGTTTGATCCTCTATCCCTGCCCAGGGAGCTACTCACAGGGTGGCTCAGCACACCGCTCCTGTCTCCCTGCTGCTCCCCTCAGCAGTGTATTTCAGTCCATCTGCCTGTTCTGCTCCCCGCTCTGTCTCTGGTGAGTCCTTTCACCTACCCACCCCACCCCTGCACCTCTGGCCTACACCCCAGTTCTCGTATGCATACATAAGTAAATCTTTTTTTTTTTTTTTTTAATAAAAAATGCATTGGGGCCTCCCTGGTGGCCTCGGGGTTGAGTCTCAGCCCAATGGCCTGAGTTGGTCCCTGGCCAGGGAGTGAACCCCCCCAGGGCGCAGCAGACCTCTCCTCTCCTGTCTCCTGGCTGCCCCCCTTCAGCAGTGTAATTCAGTAGACCTGCCTGTTCTGCTCTGCTTGTTCTGCTCCCACCATCTCTGGTGAATCCCCTCACACATACCCCAACCCTTGTACCTCTGGCCTGCACCCCAGTTCTCCTGTGCAAAAAAGGATGCATTGGGTACCTCTCTGGTGCTGGGGAAACTGTTTTTCTTCCTTTTAAAGATTTATTTATGCATACAGAACTGGGGTACAGGCCAGAAGTCCAGGGGCAGTGAGAGGATTCACCAGAGACAGAGCGGGGAGCAGATCAGGCAGATCTACGAAGTACACTGCTGAGGGGAGCAGCAGGCGGGTCAGGAGAGGTCTTCACGCCCTGTGGGTCAGCTCCCTGGCTGGGGGTTGAACTCCTGCTGAAGTGGCTTTAGCTTCTTGTAGTGCTGTGCGTTAATCCTCTGCGCCACCCAGGGAGGGCCCCGGAAACTGTTTTGATACCAAATTCACGTTACCCTTTTCTAGGACAAAGCCCAAGAAAGACCTAACCTCTGACAGTTCTGTTGCCACAGGCTCTTTGCCAGGGCCTGGTACAGACCTCACTGGGTGCTGGTGTGGGGAAGGCACATGGGGGTGGGGCGTCACCTGGCTGGGGAAGGCAGGGGCAGCACCTTTGGCCTTGCAGGGAACCGCTGACCTGTGTCTCAGGACTTGCATTTTGGTCTCTGGGGCCACGGCCAGCGTGACGGCGCTTGTGTCCTCTTTTCCTGGGGAAAGCAAGAGGGCGGGAGGGAGAGCTGTCGCCCTGTCTCTCCAGCCCCTGGGGTGGGGTGAGCTTGGAGAGGAGTGCCCCAGTGGCCTGGTGTCTCTGCAGTGCTGAGGGGTGTTGGGGTAGCACAAGTGAGCGTGTCGCCGGCAGGAGCTCGGAAAGCACACCGCGCCTCCGTGGGGTGGGCCTGGGTCCCCTGGCCCCCTTCCAAGAGAGGTAGAAGCCGCTCGGGGGCGGGGGACTCTGTGCATCAGGACTGGCTTGAGGAGATCCTGACGGGAGGCTGCGGAGCTGGTGGGAGTCCTTCAGAAGCACTGTGTGTCTGACGAAGGGATGGGCCAGGCTCTGAGCTGGGGTGTGGCCTACCCCAGTGGTTTGTGGGTCCTGACTTGGAACCTTGTGGTCCAGGACATCTGAGACCTGTTGTAACCCCATCTTGGTCAGATCCTGACTTGTAAATGCAACACCAGTTCTGAGAGTAGTAGGGAGACCTGTCCCGGCCCCACCGGGGAGCAGTCTTGGTGGACCCTTGGCCTAGGCCTGGCAACCCTCACGTCCCGGTGAGGTGGCAAGCCCGGGGCTCACTCTCTGTGTCTAGCTGCTAAGCGGGAGATGGGAGTAGGTGACGCACCTTGCTGAGACTGTGACCCAGGGCAGCATCAGATTCTCCCATGGGAACCGCCACATTTGGATGGGTCAGCTGGGCAGCATCATTAAGACAAGTGCCATCGTGACCCTGAGTGTCTTGTTGAATTGCAGGAAGCTGTTTGTGGGCGGCCTTGACTGGAGTACCACACAAGGTAGGTGTGGGCGGGCTGGGCGGGCTGTGCAGGCCACTGCGGGGCTCATGGCTTTGGGCTCCGGCTTACGTAAATCCCATCTCGTGCTGCCACCTGGGTTTTTTTTTTTTTTTTCGAGTCTTGATTTCTGGGGGGTGTGGGGTGGGGTACCTGATCGGGAGTCGCCTGGGGTTGGAGGGAGACTGATTATTGGCCTTGAAACTTAGTGTGTCCTTATGTGTCACCTGCAGTGAGGGAAGAGCGTTGATGGCCGTGTCCTGACTCGAGGGGGAGGCAAGGGAGTGGGGTGGGGAGGTGGCTGCGGAGCAAGACGGCGCTCACGTTTCTCACGCCAGGACTCTTAAAGCCGGCTTCTCGGAGGCCCTTGGCTGCCCCGTAACTTACAGAGCCCCCGCGCGTCCCCGTCCCTCCACCTGGCCCCAGGGTGGGCGGGGCGGGCTGCGCAGAGGAGCACAGGGTGCGTGCGCCGCGCACCTGCTGGGGCCGCGCTCAGGGTCGTGGTGTGTGTTTGTGTTCTGTCCCACCTCTGAGCAGAGACCCTGCGCAGCTACTTTTCCCAGTATGGAGAAGTGGTAGACTGTGTGATCATGAAAGACAAGACCACCAACCAGTCTCGAGGTTTTGGGTTTGTCAAGTTTAAAGATCCAAACTGCGTGGGGACTGTGCTGGCCAGCAGACCACACACCCTGGACGGCCGCAACGTGAGTGTCCTCCCGACCGTGCTGCTGTGTGTCGCTGTCACTTATGCTGCCGTGGTGTTTGTATGCGTATTCCCGAGGTCGCTGCAGCGGGTTAGGCTTAGAGGGTGCTGGAACTGACGGGAAGAACGCTTCTGGGGGAGGGTGCTAGTTTACTGGGCTACTGGCCACTGTCACTAACGCCTTCTTTTCTAGAGAAAATAGCCTCATATTTGCAACTGACTGGTTTGTTTGAACCTTCCTACAGATAGACCCAAAGCCATGTACACCTCGGGGGATGCAGCCAGAGAGGACCCGGCCGAAGGAAGGATGGGTAAGGGGCGGGCAGCAACCGCGTGCCTTCACGTCACGTTTGCGAGCTTTGATCTGAGGGTGTCGCACATCAAGATTGAGAGCAGCACAGGGACTTTTAGTTTGATGCTTGAGCAACTGAGAATTGCTCAGCTCACCCAACACTGGAAAGTTTTTATTTTATACCTAAGCACATTCTTAATAGTCTGTTTTTAAAAAACAAAACAAAACTAATAGCTTAGATCCATTTGTCACTAGGAGCCATTTCATCTTCATCTACTGCTCCCAGCTGGCCCTAGTGGCCACCGCCTCCTTCCCTGCTAGGTGACATAGTCGTCTTCAAAGCTAAGCTGGTCGCCACTCCTCTCCTGGCACCGTGGCTCACAGCAGGTCAGTCTGAGACCTGTTGTGGGTGGTTCAAGTAACTACTTCCAAATCCTCAGTGTGAGGTTTCTCTATGATCTGTGTATGGCTCTCGGTACTTGGCCATCTGGAGCAGAGTGGACCGTATCCTGCCCCATCGCTTCTCCCAGTCAGCAGTCCAGTCTCCCCAGAGCAGTCTGGTCCTTACAGAAAGTCCTGCGGGGCGGAGCTGGCCTGGAGACCTGCTGCACAGACCTGATCGGCAGGTCTGGGTTGGGACCCAGATCCTGCGTGTCCCTAAGTATCCCAGCCGCTGCTTGTGAACGGGCTTCAGACTCTTGGACCAGTTTGTAGTTTTCTGACTTTGTTTTAGTTAAGCTCCTCAGATATAGAAAAGCTGTAAGTCGTGCAGGAAACACCCAGACAGACCACCTGGTTTCACAAGTCGCCACTGTTTGCCAGAGTGCTTTGTTTATATTTATGTTGCTCTGTCTGCCTGAACCTCTCCTAAATACTGGAGTACGTGTCTCCTAAAAGTGTGGGCTCCCTGGTAGCCCCGATACCCACACATGTGCCCGGGAGTCGGGGGACTGCTGCCCGGGGGTGTCATGCCCTGGCGCGCATAGGGCTCGCAGTCCATCTGCCTCAGCTACAGAACAGACAGGTTCCGTGACCTGCACGCCATGATGGGTTGCAGCCCCTTGCACACTGCACACCCCTCAATCCTTGCCCACCCTCAGAAGCTTAGTCCCTGTTAATACAGTGCAGTTAGGGCAGCTGACCCTGTGGTCCCCTGGGGTAGCGAGGGAGTGGAGTGCAGGGGCTCAGGCATGTCCCCTTCTGAGCAGCCCCGCAAGTGTCGCGCTGAGGAGTGAGGCTGCTCGCAGAGAGCAGGGCCGGGTCGGGGAGCGGACAGCTGGACAGAGGATACGGGTCATCTTTTGTCACCAGCTTTGATCTCGGAGGCTGCCTTGTTTTTTCTTCCTTTCTTTCCTCAAATTCTTTGTTCCACATTGCAGAGCTTTTAAACTCTGCAGCTGTGATAATCGAGAATAATTGCCCATAGGGCCTGTGGTGAGGGTGTGTGATTGCGCTTGAGTGTCGCGCCGCCTGCGCTGAGTCCCCTCTCCTTGGGTTCTGGGGAAATGACAATTGTCATGGCTTGAGATTTTGGGTTTTCCTAGGATTTACTGGATTTGGGGATATTTGGTCTAACTTTCAGCTAACCGTTAAAGTCACTGCAGAGGCTGCCTCACACACATGTCACACTCAGTCCGTGAAGGGTCTTTTGAGGGCTGCTCTATGTTAGGCCCTGCTCCCCCCACCCCCCATGAACTAATCATCTTTTCCTTCTTGAAATAGCAGAAAGGACCCAGGAGCGATAACAGTAAATCAAATAAGATCTTTGTCGGTGGGATTCCTCACAACTGTGGTGAGACAGAGCTCAGGGAATACTTCAAGAAATTTGGAGTGGTGAGTTCTCTGCACCAGGGGTTCAGCCTCAGTCTCCACCCAGTACAGACCCTTGTCCCCTCTGGCTGTTTGTCACCATTTGACTTGTCCAGGCAGATGTAAATTTGCCGGCTGACCTCCTGGAAGGCCTCTGTGATTGTAAGCTAGGCGGTTTGGGACTAGGAGGTTTGGAACAGGGTTCTCTTGGCCCTGGGCCTGCTCCGGGGTCCCTCAGCACAGGCGGAAACGCCGCAGACCAGGTCTGTGAGAGACCCAGCCCACTGGCTCCTCCCGCAGGAGGTGCCCACCAGAGGGAGCTGTGGCCCACAGCAGAAAGTGGCTTGGATGGGTTACACAGCCAGCCCCTTTCCTGGCCCCTCGGCCACCCACTCAGAGCCTGCTGTTGGGAGCTGCGCTCTCTCCAGCCCTGGCGGGCAGCGTGACATGGCGGTATGGCCGTTTCCTGCCTGCAGCTTCTCCGGTGTGGGCAGACTTTGTTGTGCGGTAGTTTTGTTTTCTTTAAAAGTCTAGAATTGGTATTTTTTGGAATTTAGACTCTTAAGTTCATCAGCGTTACATAGGAACTGGGTTCTAGAGAGGCAGGAGGAGGGGGAGACCTTGGTGGGTGAGAGGAGGGTAAGTGGGTGCACAGGGCGGCCTGCGGGCAGGGCAGGGGTTGGGAACACCAGTCCAGTGAGTGGGGCCAGATGGGGCCAGAGAGGATCTATGGTCACGTGGGTGCTGGTGGCAGTGAGGTCCAGGCACCAGCGTCCCGGGCTCGCTTCTCTGGGAGGGGGCCTGCGGGCCTCCTGGCTCTTACTCTGCAGAGCAAGCAGCCTGCACTCGCCCTCAGTATGGTGTCACTTGGGTCCCTGGGTCCTGCGCTGTGGGTGCTGCGTGGGTGGCGGGAGCATGTGCTTGTCAGTCTCGGGCCTGACTGGGACGGCCTCTGCCTCAGGACTTCTCAGCTCGGTGGAGACTTGCAGCAGCATGGCCGGGCTCAGGAGAGCTGACGCGGGAGCGTGTGGGCGGTGTCCCGTGGCTCCCGGCCGTCTAATCCCGTCTCTTTTCCAGGTCACCGAAGTTGTCATGATCTACGACGCCGAGAAGCAGAGGCCTCGAGGTAAAGGAGATGGAGTTTGTCCTGACCTTCCTCCCCTCAGATGGCAAACTATTTCACAAATTAGGTGGTGGTTGTAGCAACATTGCCTCAGCAAAGGATGATTTGGAGACAAATGATAAAAACGTAGGCTCTTCCTGTGCAGCTCCCCCGCCTGTCTGCTTCCCAAGGTCAGACGTTACCCTTGTTTTTCCTTTTTCTTTTCTTTTTTTTTTCTTTTTGGCTTGTTCTTTTGAAATTTTCACACCTTGACATGAATGTCAACGTGGTTTCTGTTTTTCAAATGTGTCCTGAAAGATCTGTGGTTCTTTCAAATCACGAACTTCCCTGCTGACGACTGTCTCCTGTTTTGTGTCCACAGCAGCGTAGTCAGTTCGTTTCATGTCGTCAGGCCAGATCTGCCCCGCTCTGCTTGAGTGTGGAGTTTCCTTTCTACATCCCGTGCTTTTTTCTTGTTTTATTTTGTTTTATTTTTATTTTTACTTTTATTTCTTTTTATTTTTTTTTTCTTTTTGCCCCGTGAGTCAGTGGGGGCAGGCAGGAGGAAGGGTCGTGGTGGCCTCGGCATCCCCCAGATTACCCTGAGCTGCCTACACTTGCACGTCCAAATTGGTTTGTGGAACTGGGGCGGCGGGCACCCAATTTTCGCGTCCCGTGTGCGTGTGTGTGTGCGTGTGCGTGTGTCTGCTGCCGCTGTATGTCCCCGCCCACACGTTTTTGGTTCATCAACTGCTTTCGGCCCGGCTGCTCCCCGGCTGGGCTCTGCAGCAGCTCTGACCCCATGCACCTCCGCCCGCCCGTTGGAAGCCTCAGAAGGCCACTGAGCACGCCCGCAGCATGCCCGCCATGCTGGAGAATAGTTTGCCATTTGAACCCGTCCCCTCTGCTCCGTGACCGTAGTACGCGTTCCTCACTTCATGTTGATTAAGCTGTTAAGTCTTAGTCTTAATTTAATTTAGACATACATGCTTAGTGGCATAATTAAGTGTTTCATAGTAAAGTACAGTAATGTTAAGTAAGTTGTTTTTCCTTTTCTCCCTGTGAATTGTTTGTGATTAACGATATCTCTTTAGATTTCTCTTCTCCAGGTGCTAAATTATATCACACAGGTACAGGCCAGGCCCGCGGTCAGAGGAGGGAACGGGCTTTGCTCCAGTGGGGTGTAAACGAAGTTTCAGTGTGTTCTGTTCCGCTTCCTCAGTGGTGATGTCGCCTCTTGACAGACAGACGTACTGTAGATGCCCCACCCCGGGGCTCTTTCCCAGGACTCACGCCTCTTGCGCTAATGGACCACTCGAGCCCCGTGGTTTCAGGCATTCCTGCAGCTTGAGAAATTGTCAACTTTTAAATACGCTGTTCATCGACCATTTCGTGTTCCACATTTACCTCCAATCTTTGAAACCTCAGGATGGGATTATGAGGGCTCTCAGGCCAGACAGAGCTGCCTGTTTTCCTTGCCCTGGATCTGGGAGTGCCCAGGCCGGCCATGGGCAGTCAAGCTGGCGTAGAGCGCCCTCTGCCATCGGGTTCCAAGAGTCTGGAGGGCTGGGCAGGCAGAAGGCGGGCGCTCCCCAGAGCAGTAGCGGTGAGGCTGCCAGAGAGCATGCTCCTGGCGTCTTGGCTTTCCGGGGTCTTGACAGACGCTCTGCCTCCCCGCCCACACCCACCCCATGGATTTATGCCCCCTCCCCCCCGGTCCTGCCCCATATGTGCCAGGTCCCCACTCCTGCCCTCGGACTCCTATGCCTCGTGCCTTCCTCCCTTACCCCTCGCAGCGCTGTCTCCTTTTGTATGTTTTGCCCCCAAACCTGCAAACTCTCAGCCCCTTCTCTGGCATCATGTGCAGATTTCCTGTACATGTTTGTGTGGTCAGGCTCGGCCACGGCCGCATGGGAGACTCCGTATGTCAGTATGTCCCGGATCCCAGTGCCTTCCCTGCCCGTCTCTCACCGCAGGTTTCGGAACTGGCTTTCCCCGTTTCCAGCCTTTCCTTCCTCGGCCCACAAGCTTCCTGTGCAGGTCAGCAGTGCAGCTCCCTCCCTCTCAGCAGCTCGAGAGGCCTCAGGGCAGCGGCTCCTTCCCAGTGCCCTTCCCCTTCTGCCTGACTGCTCCCTGGATGCGCAGCTACCCGCCTCTGCCCCTCTGGCGTGGGGCTGTCCCCACCTCTGCGTCAGCCTCGTGGTGCACCGTCCCTGGCACCTTCCCACGCCGCCGTCAGCACTGGCGCTCCCTGCACGCCCCTTTCATCCTCTGGTCTCTCAGTGCAGAGCAGGTGGGCTCTAGGCCGAGCTAGTGCAGGCTAGAAGCAGACACGCCACGTTAGCTGGGTGGTTGGAATCGCCCAGATCAACCAAACTTCGTTTATACTGCCACTTTCTTGTGTTTGGGAAATGCTAAATTTTTTTTCTCTGTAAAATTCTTTTGACGACATGGTGCCGCTCGCTCTTGCTGCTGACAGCAGAGTTTGGCCTGCTGGAACCCGTTGTGGCCTGTATCTCTGTGTATCTTACTGATATAGATATGTACAGATAGATGCGGTATCCAGACGTATGGCACTGTGCCAGGACTCCTTGGGCTTACCCAACAGCGTTGGGCAAGCTTAGCGAGGCACTAACTGTGTAGAGATGTGCTTCTCTTTAACGCGCTAGAACAATGTATGGCCGCTGCCAGCGCTAGCTGCAGGGCAGATTGCAAGCCAAGGGGGAGAACCTGGGTTTCAGAAAAGCAGAAGCGCGCTCACGGCCGACTGAGGCAGAGCTCTGGCCCTGGCTGCCTGCCTGCGGGAGTCCCCTGCAGTTGCCTCCCACGGGAGTTCTAGCAGACTCTGGTGTCTTACTGTCCACATCAGCATCTGGGCCTCCTCGGCGGCCAGGCCTCGCCCTTCCTGTCTGCCTGCTGCTTTCTCAGAGACGCCCCTGGTTGTTCCAGAGCAGCCCTCGGCCCCTGCCCCCAGGCGTCTGTACGGAGGCCTCTTTACTGCCTCAGTCACCAGAGCTGGGGCCTGGCCCCACGGCCTCACACACTGTGGCTTCGCTGAAACCCTTGGTCGATCCCTCGGCCCGTCCCTAATACTGTTCATCATCCTGTTTTGTGTCACAACACCCTGCTACCTTGATTCACTCTTCGTCGTTGGCTAGGTTTTGGATTTATTACTTTCGAGGACGAACAATCAGTGGACCAGGCTGTCAACATGCATTTTCACGACATCATGGGCAAAAAAGTGTGTAGTTGTAGTTTTATTTTACCTTAAGACCAAACCAAGTCTTAGGCAACTTAGGGATTTCACTGGAAATGAAAAATTCCTTAACAGAAAAACGGGTGGGGTAAGTCCTGGTTCTTTGCTGTGTTGGGTTGGCCCTGGTTCTGATGAAGCAGGTGCCATCCTGACCAGCTCTGCTCCCAGAGCTGTGCTCTAAATCTCCGAGGGCGGGCAGGCCAGGGCCAGCAGGTCTCGCGGGTCAGAGGGTCCAGTGGGCTGGCCTCCAGTGAGATGGCCGGGTTGCCTCAGGCTTGGTTTCAGAGACCACTCCTTCAGATGTCTGTCTTATATCTGATTGTCTGATGCTGACCCACAATGTGAGAAGTGGACCTTTGAGAACCGAGGTTCCCTTTAAAACTAAGAGAAATATAAACATCATGAAGGATTGGTTTTTGTAAATTGGGTCACTTACTGTGAAACTCGGTCCCAACCACATGCTCTCGATAGAACTTACCTCCATGCAGTCAAGTGACCTCGGTTGTTCCATCTTCATACTGTGTCTGCCACGAGGCCTCCCTGGCGACAGTGGCCCCTACTTGTCCCTGAACGAAGAGACCAACTCCAAAGTGAATAACTGGTAGAAATTTTGCAATGCAGAGTTTCTTACAGTTATCAAAGACTTGGGGTCCTAATCGTTGGGAGATTCCTATCTGGGTCCTTCTTTAAACACTGGTGTAGGCCTGTGGGAGGAAGTGCTGGTGCTGCACAGTCGGGTTCTCTGCTCTGCTTCAGCGCACCCACCTCTCAGAGGCCCTGCCACTGTGTCAGGGTGCTGGGGGCGGGGCACGAGCACCCCTGGAAGTTCATGCCCATAGCATGTGTTGCTGATTTTATATGGGGGTCCTTAGATTTGGGCACATGCTGTTAGCGCACTCCATTTGGACCTGAATGAATAGGAGGCAACGTTTAACCATGCTCTGCCACGCATGGAGCTCTTGGGTTAAACCAAGTGTGCAGATTTCGAGGATGCACAGGAATTAAGAGTACAGTTCAAAGGCGGCCACATGCAGTTCTTCATTAAGACTGGCACTTTTGACTGGGAGGCAGCATGGTCCTGCCTGAGGGACAGCAAGGTCTACCCAGTGCACAGATTGGCCCAGGCCCCCGTCACAGGCTGCAGCAGTGTGTGTGAGGTACCCAGAGGCTCTAATGGCCCCCCATTGTCCACAGTAAAACACACAGTCATCGTCCCATCACTGATGGGCACACATAGTGTCCACTGGTTCCCCCCGCGGGGACTTCTATTCATAAATGGCTTGGGTCCCACCCACGAGGCATTAAAACCAGACTGCTGAGTGACTACAACTGTTTTGATAGGAAAAGACTAAAAGAGGGTGTTTTTAGTGACAGAGCTGCCCCACTTAGTAAGCAGGAACTGAGCTCCCTTCAGAGCAGGGTGTGAGGACTCATCAGCCAGAGTTCTTTGAGCGGGTCCCTTGGTCCTGCGTCACTTCCCCACTTCTGCAGGGGCCCAGGCCGCAGGAAGGCGGGTCTTTGTGCCTGTTTGTTCTCTACCAGGAGATGGTTTTAAGGCAGAGCCGATGGGATCCTGAACACACGACACTCAGCTCATCAGACCCCCGGGATGACGCCAGTGGCCTCCCTGCCCCTCATTAAAGTCGATGGAAGAGATCAGGATCTGGCGCTCCTGTGCCGGAGCAGCCCTCAGGCCGGAAAGCGTTGTTGTCGCTCTGCGGAGTTCAGAGCGCGGGGGGTGCGAAAGTAGGTCAGGCTAGCCCTCCCTGATCTGGACCAGGCTGCCCGTCACCGAGGCCCAGGAAGGAGGGCTCGGTTGCTGACCACACACAGTATGAAGATTGCTTACTGATTCCAATGTCCATTTTATTGCATGTTTGTTTACTTTTTTGTTAGATGTAATGTAAGATTCTCTTTATCACATCCATTCCCTCTGACATTATTTTGAGTTAATTGAGATGCTTTAAGCGTTAGCCTGGGGAAGGTAAGTCTTTATCTTCCATTAGATGTTTTAAATAAAAGCCTAAGTTAAACACCTGTGTTTCTCAGGTATGCTCTCTGAGTACAGGTAGGGTGGGCGGGCTCGGGAGAGGTTCTGGGCTTCTCCCAGAGGGGTGTTCTTGACCTCCTTGCCCCATAGGGGTCCTAGGAGGCTGGGGTGGTCCTGGCCTCTGTCCTTGAGGTTCCCAGGCTGCTGAAGGAGGATGCTGCCATTTTAACCTGACTGCACACTCCCTGGTCAAGTGCCAAACTCCGGAGGGTCTTGGCCCTTATGATACCCTGCTCTCAGCAGACAGGGCTCACGTGACTTAGAGATGATTTGTTGTACCTGAGAAACATTTTTTAAACAAAAGCAACAAAATAAACTACAAAAGAAATTTTAAAGAAAAACTACTGGCCTAAGTAAGGTTTATAGTTAAGTACTTAGTTTTAAGTCTTATTAAGATGCTAAGTGTAGTCGTAAGTTACCTGAGGGTGTGTCTGAAGGGAAGGGGCTTCTAGACCCACCGCTTCAACCTAAACCAGAGCTTTGTTTGTCTAGGTGGAGGTTAAACGGGCTGAACCTCGGGACAGCAAAAGCCAGGCTCCAGGACAGCCAGGTGCCAGCCAGTGGGGGAGCCGGGTCATGCCCAGTGCTGCCAACGGCTGGGCAGGCCAGCCCCCGCCCACGTGGCAGCAAGGATACGGCCCACAAGGTGAGACTCCCGTGCCACAGTGGGGCCCGGGACGGCCGCGCATCGCTGTGCTCCCAGCGGATGGCCTCGCCACGTGGCCTGCCTAGGTGGCGGCTTGGCTTAGGCCCCTGACACGCAGGTGTTGGCCTCTCGGCCCATGCCAGGCCCTGAGCGCTTACACCCTCCGGTACGCCCTGGAGTGGGTCGTGTGGCCGTCAGCTGGGGGGGGGGGGGGATGTGTGCCCGGGAGCCTGGGCTCCTTGAAACGCCTGGTGCCTCTGGCTGTGTCTGGGACCCGGCCAGTCCCCACGAGCAGTGCGCGCCTGAGGTTGCTGCATTGTTACATCAAGTGTTTGCTGCCTGGTCTGGGGGTCAGGGCGAGCACCAGGCGTGTCCACAGCGAGGTAGTGTGAGTCATGGGATGGAGGGCTCACCGGCTCAGGGCTCGGAACATGCTGCTGGTGGGGCTGGGATTGCCCCTGCCTGAGGGGAGCTCCCGGGCTGCCTCTCAGCCGTGTTCTTCCCAACCCCAGGCTTCAGGCCAGCCCGCTGAGCTCTCTGGCCTTCTGTGGGGTGGGCCGAGCAGGCTCACAGGACGGGGGGGGGGGGGAGGTCAGGGTGCTGTAGGAGCCTCTACCTTGAGAACGCAGACAGTGCCCGGCTCCTAGGGATAGGTGAGGAGACCGGGCAGGACCTGTCTGAGGCCAGGAGCCTGCAGAGCCGCCCGTAACAGGCGCGTTGTGCAGCGCAGGCTACAGCTGCAGGGTCCCCACTAGCCTTGCCGGCTGCCCAGGCCCAGGGTCGCGGCCTGAGGCGCCACTGCGTCTGTGTCTCCTCTTCTCCCCTCCATGCCTCCGGTGCTGGTGGGCTTGGGCCGCTCGGCCCAGGGGCTCTGGGGAGCTTCACTGTAGAAGCTCTTGAGAAGTCCTCCGGTATGTGTTCACAGTTGGGGTACTTCCCTGTGCCGTGCTACAGAGCAGAAGGGTGGCGCGTGGCCTGATGTCTCTGACACTGACACTATATCCACCCCCTTTCTCTTTTCTCAGGAATGTGGGTGCCAGCGGGACAGGCAATCGGTAAGTCCATATTTGTAGAGAACGGGACAAGCACAGGGCTGCGGACACTGGCCCAGCTGGCCGGGGCTGGGGCTGGGGCCTTCGGCGCCGGGTCAGCCTGCGTCCTGTCTTCCAGGTGGCTACGGCCCGCCCCCTGCAGGAAGAGGAGCCCCGCCGCCACCTCCGCCGTTCACCTCTTATATCGTGTCCACCCCTCCTGGAGGGTTCCCCCCTCCGCAGGGCTTCCCACAGGGTTACGGCGCGCCCCCACAGTTCAGTAAGTCATGGGAGCCCTGAGGGAGGAGCCCCCAGGGGAGACTGCAACTTGAAGGGCTGTGGCCCCAAAGCCGGGGCAACCCTGGCCACTGCACCTACAGTGTGGCCAGTTGCGCCTCATGCCAGCTTCTCAGGAGACCGTGTCTGGGTGTCAGAGTTCTAATTTGGAGCAGAGGGCTTAAGGGCTTGAACACTTTGGCTCTGGATTCACTTTTTCCTCTGGGTTTTGCTTTATAAATGAGATCTGGCTTCCAATAGCCAGCAGGCCTAGTCTCTCCTCAGCCCCCACTGCCCTGGGGGGAGAGGTCTCCCCACTGCCCTCGGGGGAGAGGTCTCCCCACTGCCCTGGGGGGAGAGGTCTCCCCACTGCCTCGGGGGAGAGGTCTCCCCACTGCCCTCGGGTCTCCCCACTGCCCTCGGGGGAGAGGTCTCCCCACTGCCCTGGGGGGAGAGGTCTCCCCACTGCCCTCGGGGGAGAGGTCTCCCCACTGCCTCGGGGGAGAGGTCTCGCAGCACAGTGCAGAGCAGTGCCTTGCCCGCGTGGCACAGGTAGTCGCCTCAGCTGGTGCTCAGCTGGCAAAACCCCCGTCTCTCTTCACGGGGTCGCCACTGTGGCCGCGTTGGACGAGGCATGCCACGGTGTGGATGGGTCACACTGGAGACACGGCACCTTGGACCAGGGCCGCGGACCAAAGGACCACCAAATGTCCTTTTACCAAAAAAAGATGCACACCTCTTACCCAGGCCCCATCTGATTTATTTCTAATGGGTCTGAAGGCAGATGGGAGCCGGGCGGTCTCTGAGGACGCAGTGGGGGGACGAGGGCCTACACAGCTGGCTCCCCGGGGTGCTCTTCTTCCCCAAGCTCAGGGGTGGCTTTACTAAGAGCATGTCCCCAGAAGAGGCCTCCCTGCTGGCCTAGGGACCGAGTCTCAAGTTGCCACCGCTGCGGCCGGGGCTCGACCCCGCCTGCCTCCCCGCCGCGCCCCGCAGCAGTGGGTTTCAGTGGACCTGTCTGCTCTGCCCCCCACCTCTGGTCTACACCTCAATTCTTTTGTGTATAAGTGAGTTTTCTTTAGAGTGTTTCCCATGCAGCAGCTCCTCTAAGTTACTCCCTAATACAGGCAGTTTTAGCACAGGCAGCTGGGTGAGCTCTACCGCCCTGGAGCTTGTACCTGCCCGTCTTTCTGGAGCAGGTCATTCCCTTGGGCAGAGCCCAGGTTCACCTGTGAGGCCCTCGGGGACTCGCCACTCGGTGTTTGAATGGGCAGGGCTGTGGGTGTACTCGGGTCTGTGTCTCTCTGTCCTGTCTGTCCGCAGGTTTCGGCTATGGGCCTCCACCTCCACCTCCGGATCAGTTTGCCCCTCCAGGAGTCCCCCCTCCGCCTGCTACTCCAGGGGCAGCACCTCTGGCCTTCCCACCGCCTCCATCTCAGGCTGCCCCAGACATGAGCAAACCCCCGACGGCACAGCCCGACTTCCCGTACAGTCAGTATGGTGAGTCCCTGCTACTTCCCCGTGCTCAGACCCGCAGCGCAGCCTGGGCCCAGCCCTTGCCCTGCGCTCTCCGCCTTCCTCCCTTACAGACGAGTTTGCCACCAGGTTTTAGTGCAGCCAGGAGGGCCCGTGGTGCCTGGGGTCATGGGGAGAGCGCAGGCGAGAAGTGAATGTGGAGCTGCACTTTGGTGTCCTAGGTTCCTGCCAGGCGCTAGTCTGGGAAAGACATGGACTGCACAGCAGGTGTCCTGCGGGGGTGCCGTCAGTGCTGGCCTCCCTGGGAGTGGTCTGAGGCCGCAGTCTATTGGGCCCGGGGTACCCAGCAGGCCCCGTGCCGGTGACTCGGTTTGCAGGTCCGGAGGGCAGGAAGCTGCCCGTGTGGGAGTGCAGGCTGGTGGCCTGGTCTGTGCAGGCTCTGGCTCGGGGGGGCCTCGTGCTTCCTTCCACAGGCTGGTCGTTGGGGTCACGCGCACAAGCCTGTGTGCAAGGAGGTGCGTGCCGCCCAAGGGGGAGACCCCTGCAGGTGGTGTGGTCAGGCGGGGCTCTGGCTTGCAAGGCCCGGCCCTGGGGATGCCCCGTACAGGCCCGCGCTGTCCCAGGGACAGCTGGGGCTGAGCTGCAGCTTCATCGCTGAGGCCCCCTTGGGACTCCACTCTTCCTCTTCCTGGCCGACACCGCCATGTCTGCGAAGTGAAGCTGCTCTGTCCCTTGAATGCCATCCCCAGCCATGTGCCCCGCACACTCCTGCATCACGCTTCTTGTTCCCCTTGGGCTCTGCCAGCCTGCTGTCGCCCAGTGCCTGGGTTCCTGACCCCACCCTGGGACACCTGTCTGGCGGTCGGCAGTGTCGGCCGTGAGTGGGGGTGTGCGTGAGCAAGAGCGTGCCCCTCCCAGCCTGCCCTTGCTCCAAGGCCGCCCCGGGGTAGTCACCCTGGTCTCGTCTCTTGCCAGGCCTGGCTTCCTACCCTCCAGACCCGTCGAACTTCGGGTCCATACTTTGTTTACACTCTTATGGTCAGGCTGAGCAGTGACGTGGCCTAGGTAGGTGGCACTTCCAAACCCACGGTCCCCTTCTGCCTGCACCAGGCAGCGGACGTGGCTTCCTCTGCCGTCCCGGGCGGGGTGGACCCGGTGGTGCCCGTGGGACGGGGCCCTTGCTGGGGCCAGCCCCTGCTGCTGCAGGCGCGCACACAGACCTGTGCTCCATGGCCCCCGTTGGGAGTCCAGGGGGCCCTGAGCCGAGCCCGGCCCCCCTCCAAAGTGTGCATTCCGGGGGGACATGGGCCCAGGATGGTGCTGTCGCCCCCTCGCCCTCTGAGGTCGTGCGCCGGGCCTGGGTCCTGCTGAAACAGGCTCTGAGGCCTGCTCGCGGGACAGCTCCTTCCCGCACCTGAGCCCGGCACCAGGTTGTTTGACCTCTGCAGTGAGCACGTCTGGGGGCATCCTGGAGGAAGGCGCTTTGAGTTTCTTTTTCTTTTCTTTCTTTCTTTTTCTTTTTCTTTCTTTTCTTTTTTCTTTTTCTTT